CATGATGCATAGTTAGTGACATTTTGGTTATGTTTGACAACTTTCTCTTCCCAACATTTCATACTTTTACACAACATTTACTTATTCATAAAAACACAATTATATTTATACCAAAGATACACATACCGATACACCTAATATCTCTTTTACAAAATAGCAGTTTTCTGCCTTTTCTGGTCATCGAAGACCACTTTCCCTTAAACTCCCATCTAATGCCATTGTCTATGATTGTAATCAAAAACCATTTACTCAAGTTCATAGGACTGACCTTGATTTGAAAAAAGTTAACACATGTAAAACATTAAAAGGTTTTATTTCATGAATGAATTGTACATTGCTCTCTTAGCCTTCTCCATTAGTGCACTTGATATATTGGACTTAAATGCATGTTCTCCTTTTGACAACATTTTACCTTATGCACTTAAAGGTTATTCTGTGTTTTTGTTCCAAGAGTATAGGCTTGAACTGCGTTTTCGACAGTAATGAAACCGAAGATCCGCTCACAATCTGAATTTTAGTGAGATATCGACAACAGACATACCGTGAACTCAGCCAGTGCATCAAATTTGGCAATGCCTCAACCTAAACTTAAATATTAATAATAAAAAATATAGCTGCAAAGCAGCAATGGCGGGCTCCAAGGTATACTGTACACAAACGTCCATGTTCGAATCCTCAAAGGGTTTCCTTGTACCAAATCCCTCAAATGTAGGCACCACTTGTAGGGTATCGCCGCTACGAAATTGTCGTGTGCCGGGGTGTCCAAGTCTGTTCTTACCCCATTTCCGACCTCGGACATGTTCGAATCCATTAAGGGTTTGCTTGTACCAATTCCACAACGAAATTGGCGTGTTCCAGGGGTGTCCCAAATATTAATCAAATATTACCACCAAAGGTGTTACTTTTAGCATGCAACCAAGAACAAAACAATAAGATGCATATGGCACACTAACTTCATGAAAACTTTCAATATTTTCTGTGGGGAACCTTACAAGATATGATCTTTAAAGTAAAGTTTCGGTGAATTTTTTTTATCAAAATCAAAATCCAATAGGCCCGTCGATTTAAAAGATATCCAAAATCGGCTAACAGAGTTTGATGTGCTATGTATGGAGACCATTCTCAGAAAGTGTGAAAACATTTCATGCAATGGATTCAGAGGAGTATGCATTTAAAGACAGGTACCCAAAAGACAATGTGAAAACCTTGAATCCAATATGGCTGCCAAACCACGTGACCAATGACCAAAGTCAAAGAACATCAAATGTCAAGCACCCAAAGCAGCAGACACATCTAAAGTTTGAAAGTAATTGGACAAGCGGTTGCGAAGCAATAGGGCAAAATATAGCTTTTAAAATTGCTTATTTTTCAGTTATCTGCCCTTGGTCTTTGGGCCTACGGCCTTGGAATTTGTGTGGTATCTGGATACACATAAAAAAATTGAATGGAATCGAGGCAGTGGTTATTATTCTAGCTCTGGTACAAAAATCGGCGGAATAATAATAATATTAAATCGAACGATAGCACTGGGACTCTTCAGCTTTTCGGCTTGGTGACTCTTAACCAGACTGTAACTTCTTTGTCAGTTGAGCTCCAGTCAAATGGATGAGTGTTCTGAGTTCGTCAGGGTTTATGTCGTATTGCTGAGATAAAGTGCTAAACCTGTTTCCGACCTCGTCCATGTTCGAATCCTCAAATGGCTTGCCTGTACCAACGCCGTCAAATGTAATGAACCGCTTGTCAGACATCACCACATGTGTCCCAGTGTTTTCTTAACCAATGTTTGACTTCGACCATGTTCGAATCCTCAAATGGTTAGCCTGTGACAACGCCGTCAAATGTAATGAACCGCTTGTCAGACATCACCATGTGTGTCCCAGTGTGTTCTTAACCAATGTTTGACTTCGACCATGTTCGAATCCTCAAATGGTTTGCCTGTACCAACGCCGTCAAATGTAATGAACCGCTTGTCAGACATCACCACATGTGTCCCAGTGTTTTCTTAACCAATGTTTGACTTCGACCATGTTCGAATCCTCAAATGGTTAGCCTGTGACAACGCCGTCAAATGTAATGAACCGCTTGTCAGACATCACCATGTGTGTCCCAGTGTGTTCTTAACCAATGTTTGACTTCGACCATGTTCGAATCCTCAAATGGTTTGCCTGTACCAACGCCGTTAAATGTAATGAACCGCTTGTGAGACATCCCCACATATGTCCTAGTGTGTTCTTAACCCATTTCCGACCTCGAATCCTCATGTTCGAATCCTCAAAGGGTTTGCCTGTACCAACGCCGTCAATTGTAATGAACCGCTTGTCAGACATCACCACATGTGTCCCAGTGTGTTCTTAACCCATGTTTGACTTCGACCATGTTCGAATCCTCAAATGGTTTGCCTGTACCAACGCCGTTAAATGTAATGAACCGCTTGTGAGACATCCCCACTTATGTCCCAGTGTGTTCTTAACCCATTTCCGACCTCGAATCCTCATGTTCGAATCCTGAAAGGGTTTGCTTGTACCAACTCCGTCAAAAGATAGTCACCGTTTGCAGGACATCACCACTACGAAATTGGTGTGTGCCAGAGTTAACCAGAGTGTTCTAAACCCATTTACCACCCAGACAATGTTCGAATCCCGAAATCGCCTCTTGAGACAAGCATGGGTTGCTGAAGACCAATTCTAACCCTCATCTTCAAGGGTAGTATACATACTGCAAAAGACACTTGACGGTCAAAGGGAAATAATCCTGAGTTTTCTGAGCGATGTTTTCGGTATTTTGTCAATATTACCACCAGGCGGGGTTACTTTTAGCATGCAACCAAGAACAAAAGATGAGGTACATATGGCACACTAACTTCATGTAAACTTTCAATAGTTTCTGTGGAGAACCTTACAAGATGTGATCTTTATATAAAGGAAAAATTCGGTGAAAGAAATCATCAAAATCAAAATCAAACAGAGCCGTCACTAAGCCAGATATCCAAAAACGGCTAACAGAGTTTGGTGTGTTATGTATGGAGACAATTCTCAGAAAGTTTGAAAGCATTTCATGCAGTGGATTCAGAGGAGATAGTATTTGAAGACAGGTACCCAAAAAACCCTTTGAAAACCTTGAATCCAATATGGCAGCAACTAAAAAAGATATCCAAAATCGGCTAACAAAGTTTGATGTGATATGTATGGAGACAGTACTCAGAAAGTTTGGATGCATTTCATGCATTGGATTCAGAGGAGATAGGATTTGAAGACAGGTACCCCCAAAACCCTGTAAAAACTTTGAATCCAATATGGCTGCCAAACCACGTGACCAATGACCAAGATCAAAGAACAGAAAATGTTAAGCACCCGAAGCAGCAGACATGTGTAAAGTTTGAAAGTAATCGGACAAGCGGTTGCGGAGCAATAAGGCGAAATATATCTTCCAAAAATACTTGTTTTTCAGTTATCTGCCCTTGGCCATTGGGCCTACGGCCTTGGAATTTTTGTGGTATCTGGTACCTAACTACTTGCACACAGACCGCCTCCGTGGTCTTGTGGTAGAGCGTCCGCCCGGAGAGCGGAAGGTTCAGGGTTCGATCCCGGGCCGCGTCATACAAAAAGACGTTAAAAGATTGTACTTGTTGTTACCCTGTCTGGCGCTCGGCATTAAGGGGTTAAAACAAGGACTGGTCGGCTCAGAGTCAGTATACTGTGTCTGAGTGGGGTATTCATGTTAAACTGCGGCATGGTATCTCAGTGAGCTAGCACTATAAATCTGCATCAGTCCGGACTAGTACAAGCAGCCACACACACACATACACGTGCATGCACGTCGCTATATAAGTGCAATAATCTTGGACGCGACGTTAAACCCAATTTCACCTCACCTCACTTGCACACACATACAAAATTTGAACCAAATCGAGCCAGTGGTTAAAGCCTTTCGGCTTGGAGCCCTAATAATAATAAATCGAACGATTACAATAGGGCTCTACAGCCTTTCGGCTTGGAGCCCTAATAAATCGAACGATTACAATAGGGCTCTACAGCCTTTCGGCTTGGAGCCCTAATAATTTTATTGCCCGATCAATTTATTACCGTCTTATCCATGCTTGTAGCTCGATCAATTTATTACCGTCTTCACCATGCTTGTAGTTTTGACACAGAGGTCCACCCATGTTACGACCCTGAATATGTAGTTGGTTTGGTTAGTTGTTTCACGCCGCACTCAGCAATATTCCAGCTTTATGACTGTGGTCTGTAAATAATCTAGTCTGGACCAGACAATCCAGTGAGTGATATTATGAGCATTGATCCACGCAATTGGGATTGATGACATGCATCAACTAAGACAGCGATCCTGACCACCCGATCCCGTTAGTCGCCTTTTACGACAAGCATAGTCACCTTTTACGGCAAGCATGGGTTGCTGAAGACCTATTCTACCCCGGATCTTCACAAGTCCTGAATATGTAGAGGGCGTCATGGAAAACGATAAATACAAAATCCTTTGGAATAGGCCTGTATACAGCCTCAGACATATCCAGGCCAACAAACCTGATCTTGTCCTTTTCCATAAATCCAATGAAATCATTTATATCATTGACTTTTCTGTCCCTCTTGACAGTAATGTGATTGACAAGATTGAGAAAAAACATGGCAAATAGGCAAACCTCGCTTTCGAAATGTCACACTTGCATCCCAAGTACCATGTTGTCTGACTCCCATTTTTGTAGGTGCCTAAGGTTTGGTACCTAGCAATCTGTTGACTGACATTGGAAGAGAGTACCTGGGTTTGCTGCCAGGAATTCAGCCCCTCTGACAATCTGGGTAATGCAGAAGGCCGCAGTGTTGGGGTGTCTTCACAGTCTCCCAAAAGCTCTGGGTGGGTTTGACTAGGCAGCGCTTCCTGGGAGAAGTCCCATTCGCTGTCTGGGCTGCATGTAGAGGGGTCAAGGGCCCTGAGCTGATGATGAGCCTAACCAGCCTGACTGTGCCAGGATCACCCAAACCCTCTTTGCTGCATTTTTTTATTTTAATATGTACATAATAACTATATGAATCACAAATGTTAATACATTATGGAAATATATTCAGGACAAGACTTGCTCATTGTTGAACATTAATCACACATTACTTTCATCATAATCACTCTCAATCACATCAATTTTATCAAGCTAACTTATCACAAGTTTAATCATAGTTACCTGAAAAGTCACAAACCGATGTTCAAGCTGACTCAGATCAAACTTGAGGCATGGAAATCTCTTTGTGAGATAAACAATAGAGTTTAAGTCAAACTCTGTTCTTCTCCTGATGTCAGCCACATGGAAGAGGACCTCATCACCAAGAAGGAACTTCTCTAACGTGTACTCTTGCTTTCTCCAAGTACTTCCTGACATCATGTTTAAATTCTCTGAGATTGATGCAGTTCTTGTGTTACACTTCTTGACCTTTGGTCCTATGGAATAGGTGGTCATTAGATTACTGATTATTAGGATCTGTCAATTTCACATTGGACAGGCTCCCAGCCTTCTTGATTGCATCTATCGTCACCAATCTGCTGATCAGGTCTCTTACGAACTGATCTTGGGTACCATGCAACTTGTTCCTCCTCCTTAAATTCGGTGTTGGCCATTGAAACGAGGCAGGACTGATGTTAGGAATAGGCAACAGAGCTTTGATGTTTTGTCAGAGAGACTGCCATTACGTCTCTCAAATCTGCAACTCTGCTGGTGAGATACTTCTGTGTGGACTTTTTGTCACTCCTCTTCTTCTTCGATAATGACTTGTCTGGTGATTTCTTCACTTTATAACTGGTTATATTTGAAGATCTTGACTTCTTTGGGAAAGTGGGTTTACTTTTACTGTCAGGTGCTGCCCTAGTAGTAATGTCTAGTCCTGTGAATGAATAATTGAAATGTCTTATCCAATCACCATGATCACAGATTAGTCAAATGAATTTTAATGTGAACCAACAACAGTTAGTTGTTTGCATAAATTTTCTAGAAATTGTTCTGATACCATAATATTTTTGACCATTATATGTATGAACAGGTAGAATTTCCATTACAACTACAGTAAATTATGTTTATGAAGAACATGCTTATTACGAACTGACGGATATAACAAACTTTTTTTGTCCCAGCCATCCTGCAGATGGTCATATATTTTCTACTACTAGTAATACATATGTCCATGATTGGACAAAAACTGTGATGGGTGTACAAAAACTAAATAACCCTAAATCAATTTCGACTTTAGACTGCGTGTTGGAACAATAGTACGGGAGTGTGTGTTACGACAATTGTCGCCCACGAAACTGGAAAATTGCATGGCCATATTCAGTAGAGGCATGTTAAATACCATTGGCCTCGAGTCCCCCGAGTCCCCAGACCTGCCGTATCATTCATTTATGAAATCTATCACATTTCAGAATGTCTGAAATATGTATTCCATTTCAATTTATCCTTTTTCATTGATAAAAATTTATTCACTATTGAAAATAAATTCTCACACACTTCGACAGCTGGTCCACATCGAACATGTCAAAGAGCAAAATAAAGACTTTTCAAACAAATCTTTAAATAGAATATACAAAGTAATAAATAAACTAAAAAAAGATATGTAAAAGTTGTCAAACTTACATTTAAGTTCTTATTCGTGGATTTTATTAAATTTTATATTTGCCGAAAATAGTTAAATTTCCGCTTCCTTGGTCCTTAATCTGGACGTTATAATTGTGTTAGCTTACATTTTTTATTTACAACGAACTTAATTAAGTTGTAAATGCATTATTTAAATAATGTGATAAACATAACCTTCATATTTATAAACAACAGGTAGACCTTTCAAATGGTGTATGACATGTAGTATCAAAGATGTTTTCCAAGCAGATATTTTCTTTGATAAATGTTGGCTTCATCTATCACACAAGCGTCTCTGGGAACATGGTGTCATAGCAGTAACACTTCTTGTTGACTGGTGTTGAAACACTTAAAATGATACAAAATATCTAAATTTGGTGCATTTTTCATCGAGATATCATACATTAAAAATTACCGTTACTTACAGAAGTATGGCATACTGAAAATAGCGACAGTTTCGGCATTTGTGCAACATGTGGCTGTGCCCAAAAATATTCAAACGTGATCAACCCCAAAAACATGCTGAAGTTTTGATACATCAAGCCAAAATCTTGATTTGGAAAGAATTTGAGATAGGATAAGTATATAAATATACAACTTATTGTAAAATTTACAATCTTTAAAACTTATCCAATCTCACACTATTCATTTGTCCCATGGTTGGAAGGTGGGGCGCAACTCCCTAACCTAACAACAAAGGTAACAAGCATAGGCTATACAAGAAGAATCTGGAGCCAAACAAGGATACGAAACCATGTTTGGTATCACTGTCTAGTGTCTATAAGACAAGGTTCTTGAATAGGGATATAACACTTCACAAAGATGGTTGAGTGAGTGAGTGAGAATGAGTAACCATTTGCAACAAGGGATTTCTGTAAATGCGCCAAATGCACAGATTGCGGTGTCAAGCAACAAGTGAAGCAGCTGAGAGTGAGGCTGAAGGAGTTTCGACCCTTAAAGGTAGGTGATTAAACCTTCTGTCTGCGAGTTGGATGAGCATGCTGAACAAACTCCGGGCTGGGTAATAAGGCATGACCAAAAGCAGTGTGAGGTGACTAGTGGATGCTATCTTATGCAGGACCTGTGGGGGAAAGACGTATAGGTGTAGGCCCTCCCACGATATTGCTAACACTTCATGGTCCCAAGCCTGAGGGTGTCGAATGGGAGATAAGAACCACCATAGCGGGTCGCAAAGAGATCAACTGTGGCAAATCAACTGAAAGTCTCATGTTGAAAATTGACAGAGCTGAGGACTGTCCTTTCATGGGACCAGAAGGATTGGAGAATAGATGCCCTGAGTTGTCAGCGCGGTGCCCAGACATTCTATTGCGTTTTTTGTTAATAACATATCTATGGCTTTCGTGAGCATGGGAAGTTGTTAGGCAAGGAAGAAGCCAGCACATTGTAGATGGCGTCGCAATGAGGGGCAGAAAATTACCATCTCATAGCAGGCAAAGTACAAAAGGATCATCTAGGATTGCCCTTGAAGAAACTCAATCTTCCACCGACAGGTGTTGGAAATACTGTAACAGCTGGGGGCAGAAGAGATAAATTGTTCAGAAAAACAATTTTTTCCCGATCCTTGCATCAAAATCTTTTAAAGTTATATCATTGGGTAATTTTTAAGCAAATCACTGGTAGATTTTAAGAAAATGTGTGTACAGCTCATTGCTTTTCCGGCTTAGTTTATGAGAATATACACAAGGCATAATCTTAATCCCTGCATGTAAAACAATGCCTAGCAGAACAAAAAAAGACAATTTAAACGGTAATTCAACATGTCTGGTGATTTTTTATCTTAAATTTAAAATTTATACTGGCCAATTTTCTTTTCACCCGTTCGTTTACCAGAATTTGCTGAAGTATTTTTTTTCTGCGCAATTTTTTTGATTTTTTCACCTCCAAAATACTGAATCCACTAGAGGGGGGATGCCCATTATACTTGGGTGCGCACTATACTCAAGAAAATACGGTACACAACATTGAAGTGGTGATGGACCCCACATGATGGGCCATTAGATCCAAAATGCCCGCCACCTTGTTCTAGATCAGGTCAACTGCAGCACGATTGCAGGCTTCTTCCAGCGAAGAGGTATGATCCAGTACCGAGTGGAGAGCCTCCGTCATCAAAAGAATGGTACAGACTAGGGGCAGCATTCTACGAACCATAGTATCAAGGTGAACCAAATCCCTGTCATCCACTGAAGACCAGGAGAACAAACGTTCCATGGGCAGATTGGCCATGAGTACCCATCTCGGTTGACACAAAATGAGGAGACTGCATTCGATCGCGTAATCGACTGAAAGATCCAAAAGCGCTGTCCAAATTAGACGCTAGGAACGGCCTGGTAGGGAGTGTAATTAGGAGATAAACCTACTGTGTTTTGAAATTTGATTTAGAGTAGATACCTCTTATCTTAATTTGAAACTGAGAGCTTTAGATTTACTGGGAATGAGCCTGCTGGTAAATAGAACTGGAGTATGACTGAACAGCCGCTTTTTTGCTGCAAATGATCAGGTTATTTTGAAATGAGGAATCTGATTTGACCTATCAAATTCAAGATTTCACGGATTCAAAGCCAGCTAGTGAAAGCAATTAGACAGCTGAGGACTAGAAACAGTGGTTCTTGTATGATTTTCTTAATTGTGCATGTTCTGAAATTAATTTCATTAAGTTTGATAAGTAATGAGCATGTCATCGTATCCCAATTGCGTGGTTTTATGCTCATAATGTTAATCACTGGATTGTCTGGTGCAGACTTGATTATTTACAGACCACTCTCAAACAACAAATTATTTACAGACCACTCTCAAACAACAAACAAACAAACAATAAGTTATGATCCAGTGCCTTCGGTGATGTCGTGCCACTTTTTTCGTGGCCTTTTGAAGGGAGGACTTTCAAATCCCGTCCTGCCAAATTCTTGCGGTGGTGGTTCACGGAGATGGTAATGTTTGTTGTTTAACACTGCACTTAGCAATATTCCAGCTATATGACGGTGGTCTGTAAATAATCTAGTCTGGACCAGACAATCCAGCGGTTGACATCATAAGCATCAATCCACTAAATGAATATTGATCATTAAAAGGCTTGTAAATAACATGTTGTTTACTTTCATTGTCGGTTGTGTCAATGACGAAATTGCCTGCTCCGAGTCTGTTCACCATCTAACATGTCCCTGACAGTTTCATACACATTTCATTTGCAAGCAAAAGATATGCCTCCGTAAAGTCTTGAAATCTGATCATCGAAGCAAACAGGGTTATGTCCTAGAACATCATATCGTCGCCAAAAGCATCTGATATCAAACAACCATATTTCCTCTATGAGACGGTGAGACAGTCTATGAATTTCACAAGAGCTGTTGACCGAGCGTGTATTAGAGACCTGGCTTGTGTCATAGAGGAAATATCGATTCGTTTTACAGTGCCTTTGGGTGATTGATCGGCAGCCATTTTTTAAGAATCGAAATGTAGACGATCGGTATATATTTAAAAGGGTTTCCGTAGCAAAAAGGAAAACACTTTTAAACCAATCTGATTCAATCATTCTTCAGTGTCATGGTAGGCGACATAGCCAAGAGACAACAAAGGAAGACAAAGTTTCTTCAGTTGAAGTACTCTTTAAAGTTTATACGCGACCCAGACTAGGGCCGTAGCCATTTCTACAGTGTCCAAACTGCCGGAGGAAGAGTCAGGGGAAGTGTGACGATTTCAAAGATCGTCCTCTTGTACCAAATCAAGAAGCGAGGCAGAGGTGGCTGTCGACGTCATTGTTTAATGCAGATCCGGAATGGGAGCCATAATGTCCAGAGGGGAACCAGTCTGACAAGCTGAGGTCATAGTTTGTAGAAGAGACTGAAGCTGTTGTTTGGTTATTACATCAGTAGTGTTCTGCGAAGTAGGAAGTGATGATGTGGAAAACTGTAGGATCTGGTACAGTCGTGGCAGGAGTACGCCAAAACCGGAGGAGATGGGGAACGCAAGTAACGTAAAGGAGCAGAAGCGTCATGCATGTTCTTAGAAGGGGAGAAGGACTTCTGCTAGGGAGGGGATGGGAGGCATAGGTCGGTTGTAGACGGTATTCCGGATAGGCAGGATCATAAGAATATCCTCACCAAGGAGGAAAGGTGACCATATACTGTGGATACAATTCCCAATCGTGCACCGCATTGGTATTTCATGGCAAATCTTGACGCTGCTGGTTATGATAATCAAAGGAGCGTGATCAGTCATGCAGGCGAGAATCCGGAT